AGAAAAAAAAGTAAATAAATAAAAATTAAATTAAATTAAATTTTAAAAAAGTCAACTTACCCTTGTGAATGGATATTCTTGTTGGGGGAGAAAGATAATCAGCAGGTAACTCATTACTTCGGGTGTAATAGGTGCTGTGAAGAAAACAAAGCAGGGAATGGAGGAAGCTGGGGCGGGTTCTGCCGTTTCTAAAATTCTGTTTGTTTATTTTTACCCAAAAGAAGAAGAAGGCGCATTGAGGATTCTATATTTTGATCTGTTTATTTATTTAGAATCAGGGTCTTACTCTGTCACCCAACCTGGAGTGCAGTGGCATGATCACGATGATAATGGCTCTTGGAAGCCTCAACCTCCTGGACTCAGGCAGTCCTTCCACCTCAGCATCTCCAGTAGCTGGGACTACAGGAGCATGCCACCACACCTGGCTATTTATTTTTATTTTTGTAGAAATGAGGTTCTGTTGCCGGTCTCGGTGGCTCAGCCTGTAATCCCGCGCCTTGGGAGGCCGAGGTGAATGAATTGCCTGAGCCCGCAGGCTCGAGACCCGCCTGGGCAACTTGGCGAGACCTCATCTCTACAATAAATCAAAAAATTAGCTGAGCGTGGTAGCATGCACCTGTAGTTCCAGCTACTTAGAAGGCTGAGGCGGAAGGATTGCCAGAGCCCAGTAGGTCAAGGCTGTGGTGACCAGGAACGTGCCACTGCACTCCAGTCTGGACCACAGAGTGAGACTCCAACTCAGAAAAAAAAAAAAAGAAATGAAGTTCCGCTGTGTTGCCCAGCCTGTTTCAAACTACTGGGCTCAAGCAATTCTCCCACCTCGGCCTCCCAAAGTGCTAGGATTACAGGCATGAGCCACCATACCTGCTGGCTTCTACACTTTTAAATGAAGTCACATGGATTACTGAGAAGGTAGCGTTGGAGCAAGAGTGGAAGGAGTCAAGTGAGCAAGTGAGGCAGACGTCTGGGGAGAACATTTAGGCCAGTGGACAGCAGGTACAAATGCTGGGAGGTGGCTGTGTGCCTGGCTTGTGTGAGGAGCAGAGAGGTAGGCCGGTGTGATGGACATGGGGAAGACAGGAGGTGAGAGCCTAGAGTTGTGGTAGGGGACAGGGAGGCTGGCCCAAGGGCATAAGGTGGTAGTCCTCCAGTCTAGCTACAAGTTGGAATTCCTGGGGAGCTTTAAAAAATACCAGTGCCCAGATCTTACCCTCTGAGGCTATGCTTTAACTGGTCTGCGTTGGAGGTTGGACATTAGAATTGTTAAAAGCTCCCTCTCAGCCTGTAATCTCAGCACTTTGGGAGGCTGAGGAGAGTGGATTGCCTGAGCACATGGGTTCAAGACCAGCCTGGGCGACTTGGTGAGACCTTGTCTCTATAATAAATAAAAGATAGCCGGGCTCGGTGGCTCAGCCTGTAATTCCGCACCTTTGGGAGGCTGAGGTGAGTGGATTGCCTGAGCCCGTGGGTTCGAAACCCGCCTGGGCAGCAAGACCTCATCTCTACAGTAAATCAAAAAATCAACCGGGCATGGTAGCGCATGCCTCTAATTCCGGCTACTTGGAAGGCTGAGGCGGAAGGATCGCCGGAGCCCAGCAGGTCGAGGCTGTGGTGGCCGGGAGCGGTCACCGCACTCCAGTCTGGGCAACAGAGTGAGACTCCAACTCAAAAATAAATAAATAAATAAATAAAAGAAAAACTAGTTGGGCATGGCAGCATGCACCTGTGGTTCCGGCTACTTGGAAGGCTGAGGTGGAAGGATCGCCAGAGCCCAGCAGGTTGATGCTGGGGTGACCTTGAGTGCGCCATTGCACTCCAATCTGGGTGACAGAGTGAGACTCCAACTCAAAAAAAAAGATCCCTCTGGAATGAGACCTGTTTAGCCATATCCATCAGCCAGATATTCCTCATGGGGTGGGCGCAGGTAAATGAAGCCTTGGCTCAGGCCTGGCCCTCAGTGACAGGGAGGGGCACCCAGAGCTTTGATGTGTGGTGTTTCCTCCAGTGGTCTCACCAAGCGCTTCATGGCTTTCCCAACAGTGGCAGCACCTGGTATAGGTGGCCATGGGGAAGCGATACTTCTGTGACTACTGTGACCGCTCCTTCCAGGATAACCTCCACAACCGAAAGAAGCACCTCAACGGGCTGCAGCACCTCAAAGCCAAGAAGGTCTGGTACGACATGTTCCGAGGTGGGTCTTGCTGGCTTGGTGGCTGGGCTTGTGGAGCCCTGCTCTCTTGTCTTTCTTATGTCAGGCAAGGAACACTGGGTCAGCAGCGGTCTGGGTCTGGGTCTCAGCTCTCTGAGGATCACAGGAGGAAGCCTGAGCTGCTCACAGGGACAGGCTGGAACTGGGGCTTCATTCCCCAGAGACCTTGACCAAGGGCTCTGTGCTCCAGTCACCCAGACTCTGGGGATACTGCGGCCAAGAAGAAGGCCTCTTGAAGGTGGTGATGTTTGAGCCAACAGCTGAAACACGGGGAAAAGCCAGCTGCACCATCTGGGAAGAGGTCTGTGAGAAGCAGGCAACCCTGAGCAGAGGAGCAGGTAGAGGGAGAAGGTGTGGCTGAACAGAACAGTGAGGGGAGAAAGGTAGGGCTGAAGCTTGCAATAGGGCAGGGACCCCCAGGCATACAGAGGCCCTGGGGAAGGGGACACCTGTCTCGAGGGCAGGGGACAGTCTTTGAAGGGCTTTGGGTGGCAGCTGACTCTGCTGCAGGGGAGCAGTTGGATCACTAAATGACTGCTGAATGACTGGCTGGAGGGGTGGGTAATAACCAAGCTGCAGGGGAGAGTGGGCTCTTCCGGGTGTGACAGTGAATGGGCTAAGGTCAGAAATACCTAGCACGGGGCCTGGCCCCAGGAGGTGCCCATAAGGAAGCTGGGCTGCTGCATGGCTGTCAATAGATGTATACACTGAGGAATAGCCAGGGAAGTTCCAGAGCGTGGCCAGGCAGGAGCTGGGCCGAAAAGCATGAGCACATGGCAGTGGGTTGTGGGTGGACCTGGAGCTTTTGGAGTGAGCCAGAGCTGGGCTGACTGATGCCCCACACGCTGGGAAGCAGGATTCCAGGATAGGTCCCAGCAACCAAGAAGGGAGAAGAAGGAGAGAGAGAGTCCCCTGGTTTGAGACTGAGAATTCATGAGATGGGGTGAGCACTGATTGAGTGCCTGCTGCATGCTGGGTGCTTTTCGTGGTCTGCCATTGGCTATCTTGGTAACTCTCTAAGACAGTGACTGTCAGCCCTGGCTGTGAGTTGGGATCACCTGGAGACCTTTAATAAAAATACTGATCCCCTGGCCCCAGCCCCAGAGGCAAGTTTGTTGGGATGGAGTAGGCATGATCTTTGTAAAGTCTTCCCATGCCCATTTCAGCTGAGGAAGCTGGGGCTCAGAGGCTCCAGGGAGGGAGGGTGGCCAGGCCACTCAGCGAACCAGGTATGACTGTGGTTATGAGGGGCTAGAAGTGGGGTTCAGGGGTCTCCTAGGTCCCTGGGAGGCCTCCGACCTTGGTGTTAGGCAAAGGCTCACTGTCCCCCAAATCCAGTGGGAGCTGTGATCTGGCACAGAGCTGGGCCAAGAGCACCCTGGTGTTTGCTCCTAGGCTAGACACTCAGCTGAGAACAGCAGGCTCCTGGGGTCCAGGCTGATCTGCAGAGACACTTGCCTTACTCATGGAAAAGACAAAGCAGTAGGCACCATGGGCTTCTCAGGGTCTTGCATTCCCAGTATCCCCTGATATCCCAGCCACATTCAGCCCTTAAGACAGCTCTACAAGGGAGGCTGGGCAGACCAAGGTCTCTGCTTATGGGTAGTGACTTTAAAATCCAGAGCAGTGGATTACCTCACCTGGGTCCCCAGGCACTGGGGCCTACTGGCATGTGAGTGCCCTCCATGTCCTCAAGAGGCTGCCCCAGGGCTCTAGCTCAGACCCCAGCCTAGGTGGGGACTCTATTCCACTCCTGCTCTGCTCTCAGCTTCACGGCCTGAGGCAGCCCCTTAGCCCTCAGAGGGGCTGGGGGTCCATCGGCCATGGCCAGGACAGGTGCGGGCCCTGGAGCCAGGCTGCCCGGGTGTCAGTCCCAGGGTGTCGCTCAGTGTCACCTTCATTGTGTAAACAGCTATTACAAGATACCCGCCGTCCCACCTTCCTGAGATCTTACAGGCTCAGTAATCGCATAATGACCGTATCCCACATGAGGGTTTACTAAATAGGAACAGTGCCTGTGGGTCCTGGAAAAGGTTGCCTCGGGCCTTCGTCTCATGGCTCATTCTTTCAGCATGTCCTCGGCTCGAGGACAGGCTCCAAAGACTCAAGGGTGGATAAAACAGGGCCCCTCTCCTGAGTGGCCTTGCACCCTACTACAACAGTGTGTTCTGGGCAGAGCCCCTGTCCTGCCTGGGCCTCTGTGCCCTGCCAGCCTCCCCCTCCCAGCTGCAGCCACACGGGCCACTGCATGGATTAGTGCTTGTACTGCCCCCTCTGTAGGCATACCCTTCGTGCTGTCCTCCCTGCCCCAAGCCAGGTCCCCCATCTCAGAACTCAACTCAGGCAGTGAATCCTCAGGGACATCCTTCCCCGACCTCTGGGCAGGTCAGGTCATTTGGCTACATGCTAGATGTTTACTCCGTTTATATCCACATGGATTAGTGTGCCTGTTGAACTGGAAGGAAAGACCAGCTCTGACTTGTTCTGCACTGAAATCCTCATCCTGGCATGGTGCCTAACACACAGGACATGCCCGGTGGATGTCCGTTAGACGAATGTCTGAATGAATGAGTAAACAGACATGGGGCACCGGGGCAGCTGTGCATTTGGGAGATGAAGTGAGAAGGACCATTAGGGTCAGATCACAAGGAGCCTTGAATGTCAAGTGTAGAGTGTGGGCTTCCTTGTGCAGGGCCTGGGCCAGAGGTCCTCAACTCTGGGTGCACTTAAAAGTCTCTGAGGGACCGGACTCGGTGGCTCAGCCTGTAATCCCGTGCTTTGGGAGGCCGAGGCGAGTGAATTGACTGAGCCCATGGGTTCGAGACCTGCCTGGGCAACTTGGCGAGACCTCATCTCTACAATAAATCAAAAATGAGCCAGGCGTGGTAGCGCGCGCGTGTATTTCCAGCTACTTGGAAGGCTGAGGCAGAAGGGTTGCCTGAGCCCAGCAGGTCGACACTGGGGTGGCCATGAGTGTGCCACTGCACTCCAGTCTGGGCAACAGAGTGAAACTCAAACTAAAAAAAAAAAAAAAAAGTCTCTGAGGAACTTTAAGCAGTCCTGATGCTGTCTCCCTCCAATGAAGTAAAGCAGAACCTGAGAGAGGTGGGGCCGGTGTTCATGTACTTTAAAAGCTGCCCCATGATTCTGACGTGAGGCTGGGGTTCCCAACAACCAGCTAGATGCTGGGCAGTCTGGAACCCTTGTCTGGGATTCGGGCCCAGCTCCCTTGCCTATCTCAGCTATCCTAGCCTTGGGGAGTCCTGGGCTACATCCATATACCTTCCACCAGCCCCCTTCCTCTGGACTGGCCAGTAGTGGTGTCTGTAACACCAGCTGGGCAGGCTGAGTCTGACGAACCCTTCCTCCCCCACTGCTGGCCCCATCTGTGGCTCTGCCAGCTCCCCTCCCCCATGCAAGTCCTCCGATAACCAACTCTTGACCCCACCAGACCACCCCAGCCACCAGCTGCCCTACCTCAAGGAAGGGAGGAGTCCACGTGGGCATCAACCATTCATTCAGACACCAGGAGATCAGCAGCCACACGGGGAAAAGCTGGAGCTTCAGATTCTCATACTCCACGGTCCAGCCTGGCACTGTCACCCCGACCATGTGTCACTGGGCAGGTCACTTTCTGAACCTGTTTTCTGAACCTGTGTCTAAACCTGTTTTCCCCTGGGATATTTGCACTGTGCAGCAGGTTTGTGAGGAAGAAATTAATTAAGAACTGCTACCATTTGCTGAGTTCTCCTCAGTCCTAACCAACACCTGGGGAACTTGATCTGCCCAGCATCCCTACCTGTGGTCGTTCCTGGCTGTACTTCTCCGTGGACAGGGAGCTCTTTGTTTCCACACAGCTGTATCGTAGCCGGGGCTGAAATCCATGCCCCTGCGGCCTCTGCCTCCCACCTCCCTTGGTGGAGCCATCTGAACCCAGCCCCTCTCTTCCCTTCCAGATGCAGCTGCCATCTTGCTAGACGAGCAGAATAAGCGGCCCTGCAGGAAGTTTCTACTGACGGGTAAAGTGCTTTGTGCAGCCTGGGTCCCTGCAGTGCCCTGCAGAGCCCAGTGTGGCCTGCTTGGAACTCTGCAGAGTGTCACCCCACACCTGGGCTCCCATCCTGAGCCCGCTTTGCAACCTTGGCTTCAGCAGACACTGGTCAGTCGGAGTCTCCCCAGGGGTGGCTAGGACTTCCCAGGCCTGGTCCTCCACTCTTCAGACCTAGAATGTGATTTTATGGCTCACCCAGAACAAGCAGGCACTGGGAGATTGGAGCAAATCCAGGAGACACTGATAGGTGTAATAGACTCTCTGATTGAGTTAGCCTGGGAGACTCACCTCTGCAGCCTCCTTCCCAGCAGGCAGGGTTGGAGGCAGTGACAGGGCTGACAACCTGAGGATGTTCAGAATCAGAACCAAGGGTGCTAGGTGGATTTGGCTGCTCAGTATGCAGCGAGTAGAGATGCGTCTTGTTTAAAGAGATAAAACCCCAGCCGGGCTCGGTGGCTCAGCCTGTAATCCCATGCTTTGGGAGGCTGAGGTGAGTGGATTGCCTGAGCCCATGGGTTCGAGACCCACCTGGGCAACTTGGCGAAACCTCATCTCTACAATAAATCAAAAATTAGCCGGGCGTGATAGTGCGTGCCTATAGTTCCAGCTACTTGGAAGGCTGAGGCGGAAGGATCACCGGAGCCCAGCAGGTCGAGGCTGCGGTGGCCAGGAGCAGCCACTGCACTCCAGTTTGGTCAACAAAGTGAGACTCCAACTCAAAAATAAAGAGATAAAACCTCAGTAAGGGAAGGAACCAAAGACAGGTGAAAATAAGGGTAAGAAAAATAAAGCAAAGCCAGGAGAATAATTCCTCACCTCCATGCTTGTTCTTGAGGTCCCATGTTCTATCTAAGGGTGTGGCCCTGAGCTTCCTGGCAGCCAAGGCAAGGAGGAAGACCATGAGGATTCACATGGTGTGTGAGGGAGCTTAGTGTATGGCCACACTCCCCTCAGGACTGACGTCACCTAGGGTGGGCACAAGGCCCACAGATCAAGAGCTTCCCCACAGACTCCGTAGATTACCCTGGCAAGGACACCATCTTGGTCTCCTTGGTTGAGACTAGGAAAACCACCCCAGACCTTGGCCCCTCCTTGGCAAAGCTGCCGTCAGAGTCCAGCCACTCACAGAAGATGAGTGGGCAGGCGGGGTGCCAGGCAAGGGCACAGCACATGCCATGGCCTGGAGTGGAGGAAGCATGATCCTTTTAGGAGCCCGCATGTAGTGCTTTGAGTGGGGGTGCTAGTGAGGAGATACAGCTGCAGAGGCCTGTGTGGCCTGTCACAACAGGCTTCAGGTGGCTGCCATACCCAGCACGGGCTGCCAGAACAGGGCCGTGAGCAGGGGATGGTGAGTTGGACAGGTTGCTCTGGCAGCTGAGTGGGAGGCAGGGCTAGAGAGTCCTTGCTTTTGTTCTGGGCTGGGGTTGCTACTCTTTAGGCCCTGAAGTCTTGCCCCTAAAACTCTGGAGCCCCTCATCAGGGTGCCCCCAGCCCACAGTGGGTGCCCTTCCTGAGCGGCGAGTAACTCTGTCTTCCTGTTGCAGGCCAGTGTGACTTTGGCTCCAACTGCAGATTTTCCCACATGTCAGAGCGAGACCTGCAGGAGCTGAGTATCCAAGTGGAGGGTGTGTCTCGGGGGGGGTCCCCTGTGCTAGGCGGAAGTGGGGTGCTGGGGGGCATTGCGGGATCTGAGATAAGGGATGCTGCCCTGTGTCTTCCTACCTCTCCCTCATCCCATGTGAGGCAGGCCAAGGGCTGCCAGGGTCCGGGGTGGGTTTCAGGAACAGCCTCTGAACTGCCCAGGCATGAGTGGAAAAGGCAGGAGTCCTGAGGAGGTCCCTCAGCCCCACCTGGACCCAGCGGCTATCGGTGGTGGATGCACTCCCTCCCTCCCTCCGTTCCTCCCTCCGTCAGGGAATGTCCTTACTCGGCACTAGGCAGATCCCCTACTACTCTCTGGGAACAAAGGGATGAGAGAAGCACCTTGTCTGCCCTCGGGACTCTCAGCCTGATGATTCTAGGGAGGGACAAGTTCAGCTTCCATGGAAACTGGTATGTCTGCCTTTGGGAAACTAACATCTCACATCAGTTAGAGAACAAGGGCGTTCCCACTTAGATGGTCTCTATTGATCTCCTGCAGCCCCTCACTGGACGGATGGAGACAGAGGCCAGCACTCAAGCAGGAGGGCCTGATATGAGCCCTCTAGCAAGTTAGAGGCAGACATCGGGTTTCTCAGAGCACCGCTACATACTCTTCTCTGTCCAGGGGGCCTCAGGACAGCCAGTGAGGGTCCAGGACAGCCTGACCCTTGTCCTCATTTCCTGGTGGGCCCTGCTTTCCTCTGACCAGTCAGACCCTGGGGGCTCCACGCACTTGCCCTGCCCCAGGGAGCTGATGGTGATGTGTCTGCAGCCCTGGCACCAACACAGAGCTTCCAGGAGCTTTCCCTGGGTGGAAGCGAGGCTTCATGGGGCCAGCCAGTGCGGCCTGGCTGCAGCGGCAACTCCAACTCTCTGCTGGCCATGGGCTCTTGGGGAAGAGTTGGCCTGTGGTGGGGAGAGCACAGGCCAGTGGGTCTGGGGCTGATGATGACATCTGGTGGGGACAGCGATGGGGAGAGGCCCGAGGGGCTGGGAGCAGAGGTGCAGCCCAGTTGGCAGCACAGACAGTCCCGAGATGATGTCTGTGCAGTGTTAGCCCAGGACCTGGCCCGAGTGACCATCGTCGTGAGCGTCATTTCCTCTGGCCCAAGGTCCCATCCCAGACACCCTGGAGACTCTGACCCTATCACATACTCATAGCCAGCTTGTGTGAACTTCATTTAATTCAGTGTTGGGCATCTTATGAGAAGAAAAACTAGGGAAACTGAAGCTCATTATCCTGCCCAGGGCCAGAGACCTGGCAGGTAGCAGAGCTGAGATTCAGCCCTGTTCTACCACCTGTGCTGCCTGCCCTCTGTGCCCCAGACTTGGACCATCCTGAGGGCCAGGCTCTTTACACACAACTCCCCAAAAGCTTGGGAAGCAGCTGGCACTATCTCCATTTGATGGGAAAGCAGAACGAGACCCAGAGTGCTGGGTCTTGGTGTGCAGATGGCCTGGGGAGGGGGTGGCATGGCAGGGACAAGCCGGCAGCTCCATCCTGGCCTTCCAGCCTGCGTCCTCCGGGAAGGTTGCTACAGTATCCCAGGGTTGGCCAAATCCTGCTGCTCTGTGGCAGAGTGGGTTTCAGTGCACATGAGTGTACCCTCACCTGCCTTTTTTGTCCTGTTCCCTACAGAGGAAAGGCGGGCCAGGGAGTGGCCACTGGAAGCTGCCGAGCTCCCCGAAGGCCATCTGGAGGACTGGCTGGAGAAGAGAGCCAAGCGGCTAAGCTCAGCCCCAAGTAGCAGGTACAGGCCCAGGGGTCCTCCCATGCCCCAGTTGTCCTCCCATGTCCAGCTCCTCTCCTCCCATGCCCTCTGGGAACAAGACGCCAGCCAGTCTGCCCTTCCCTAAAGCTGAGGAATCTCTGTGGACTGCCCTGGCCCAGGGGCCAGCCACGGTTTCCCCCACAGAGCTCCCTGAGGGGCCACACCGGAGGCTCCCGGGGCCACAGGCCCTGGCCAGAGGTGAGTGGTGTGGGTCTAAAGGTGCCTCTTCCCCTGGCCCAGCCATTTATTGGATTCTGTGCTGCTAAGGGGAGGCAGGTGGCCATGCAGCTTTGACTTCCCATCTCCAAGTCCATTGCTAGCGATTACATCTGGTGGGCACAGGGTTGGGGAGAGGCCCAAGGGACTGGAGCAGAGGCGTGCGGCCCAGTGTGCTGTGGTCTGAGTACCCAGTGTGCCAGTCACGGTGCACCTGCTACCGCTATCCCTTCAAGGGCCCTGTAGAAGGGGAAACTGAGGCTCACGGGAAGGGTATGACTTGCCCAAGAGCAAATAGCTAGGCAAAGGCAGAGCCAGGATTGCACAGCAGTATGACGACAAAGCCATTGTCCCACTGCTTTCCTTAGGAACAGGATTAGGGTGGGCCCAGCCCTCAGAATGCTTGGAAGTGGACAGGAGCAAATGGCCTCAGGGACCTTGGTGCGTGAGCTGTGTGCTGTCCCTGGCCCTCCTCTTTTAGGGAGGAGACTTAGCTGATGTGTCACATCACAGCCAAAATCAAGTCAGGGCTCCTGGCTCTTCCACCAGAGATTAGAGGACAGAGGGAAGGAAAGGGGGCTGAAGGTGTGCTCTGAGCTGTGTATGACTCTGAACAAAGTATCCCTCTTGAGCCACCTCACTTTTCCCATCTTGCAATGGGGCTTCCTACCCAAGTATCTCTGGTGTGGCTTCATGGGATGGTGGGCCTAGCCTGGGCCGAGGGGGCCTAGTCAGACTGTCTGTAGGGTGAGGGCTTCCCTTGGGGCTTTGCCAGGAGGTAAAGGCTGAGTTTCTTGTCTTCTCTGTACCTCAGTGAAAAGAGATTGTTGAGGTGTTTTAAAATTAACTTTGTTTTTATTTTATGTCTGGGGCCAGCATTTGTATATGGTATAGACATGGCTCAAATGTTGTAGTGTGACATCCCCCCACCCCAGTCGTGTCTGAGGGGGCTGTGGCTTTGGTGACGTGGGTGCCCCCCTGGAGACCAGCCATCACCCAGGGATCCATCCACACAGGCTCCTTCAGGCTGTGTGTCAGAGGCTCGGGCCTGTCGGAGGCCACCCGGAGAGCTCCAGCCCCCACCCTGCTCCACGGATCCCATCTTCTTGCTGTGTTCCCTGACTGCTCAGCTCCCTGGACCCCACCCCTGTGATGTCCTTTGCTGGGAGTGAGTGACACAAGCCTGGGGGCCTCTTGAAGCTGTGACAAGGTTTCAGGGAGACCCTGTGGCTAGACTGGAGTGAGCACCAGTGGGTATGGCAGAGTTGAGGTGCCCCAAAGTCCCTACCTGGGTGGCTGAGAGATGTGTCCCAGCACTGACACCAGGCATTAGGAATATGAGACTCAGAAAGCTAGGGAAAGAGATGGGGAAACAGACTGATGACTGTCCCAAGTCACAGGGAGAGGTGGTGACCACACGATAAGTGGGTTTGTTTGACATTTACAATGTGCCCAGCACGTGGTTCTGGGCATTCAGGGAAACTGGTATCCCCATTTTGCAGCTGAAGGAAGCAGCTGCTCCTTTCCAGAAGTTTGTGGCTGTCTTGGTCATGCACCCATGGCCCTTAGCCTGCCCTTAAGAGAGAGCTGGATCATTGCTCCATTTCGGGCTGCCTTGGACGCCATGTTCAGGGCTGGCCAAGAAAGGCCTTGTGTGACAGCAGGCCTGAAGTAGCGATGGAGCGATGGCACAACAGGCTGCCGGAATGGCAGGGCAGTTTCTGGAATGGCGTCTGCAACTGGGACCTGCCCTTGGTTTTAGGAGTTCTTAGCCCCTGGGTCACTCTCCCTCTGGTCACCCAAACTGTTCTTCTTTCTTGACGACCGCTTGTTTCTGTGCCCACCAGCCTGTCTTCTTGCCTCCTGGGGACTTAGAGCCAAAATTAAATGAATCCCTCTCTGGGCAGGGCCAGCCTGTCCAGCCTTGAAAAAAGGGGGGTATTGGAAGGGAGGTGACCATCTATTCCTGCTTTTGCCTTTGTGCCTCAGGCTTCCGCAGCCCCCGCCCTGCAGGCTGGTCTCTCTTGAGAAACATGGCCAGGCTTTGGGCTCTGCCCCTGCATCTGTGTTCCACCTCCCCACCCCCACATGATGAGGGGTGGATTCAAGTCCCCAGGCTGCCTTGCTCTTTCCTGGCTCCTCCTCCACCCTGGAGGCAGCCCTGCAGGAATAGTGCCCTTCCCCCACACTGGCTCTCCTGAGGGCCACAGGAGTCTTCTCCCTGGTCCCCTACCTCCCCTGTGCTCCTGCAGGTCATCCTCACAACAGTCCTGACACACCCTAGCCTTGGCCCTCCCCTACTCTCTCCACCTCAGGAGAACCCTAGCTCCATAGCCCAGGTTACAGGGCCCAGGGGACCCTCCCCACTGCCTCCCAGCCTGTGGGGTCACCTTCTCACCTCCTGCATCTGACCTCTCTGCCAGTCACACTGGACGCTTGGCAGCTTCTTAGACACGGCGGTGGTTTGTGATTTCAGGCACCTTGGGCATGCTGTTTCCTCTGCCTGAAACTGCCTCCCACCCCTTTGCCTGGCTCATCTGGAAGCTTTAGCTAAGACATCCCCCTTCCAGCTCCCAACTTCCCCCTCAAGCCTGAACCCAGGGGGCCCAGGACTTGGTGACTGCATGAATGAGTACTTGGGCAAGCAGGGTCCGGGCCTGGATGACTGTCCCTGGGGTTGGTACCATGGACCTCTTGTGGGAACTGTCTGGTGGCCCGAGGCAGCTCCTCTTCCTCTCTGGGTATCTGTTTCCTCCCACAGGACTCAAGGCCCCCAGATGGCTGCCAGTCCACCTGGGGCTCCAACCCCACAGGCTGAGCAGAGCCCCCAGTGAGGTGGGCCAGCCCCCTTGTGAAAACGGGGAGTGGAGGCTCCCGGAGCCCCAGCCTGGAGCAGCGTGCCCCTCCCCTTCCGCAGACTGACCCTGAGGGAGCTGCCAAGAGCAGTGGCGGGAGGGAGAGGCCGGCCTCAGACACAGACTAATCCCCCGGTGAGGCCAGTGCCTGCCCCTGCTTTCCATTGTTGGCTCTTCAGATTGCGACTTTATCCCTCTTAATCTCCCCCTTGGTAGCCCTCTCTGGGCCCCACTGCTGTCCTGGCCCATCCTCCTCCCCAGACACATCTCCTCTGATTAGGACCGTGGCTGGGGACTTGCATGAAGGCTGCCCTGTCCTTGCGCACAGGTCAAACAGGTCACAAGAGATGCCACAAGCAGAGCTGTGTGACACATGCACTTCGGTGTCCCGCCTCTTCTGTGCAGGGGCCCGAGGGGTGCGCCCCAAGGCTTGGACTCCTATGTCTGGGGCCCTGGCAAAGTGCCTGTGTGTGTGAGCAGACATGGGCATGCCCTTCTCCTGTTGGGGGGCCTCCTGGAGAGCAGGGGCACTGGACTAGAACTTGGACCAGCAGGGTCCCAGCTACCCAGGAACCTGCCCCATTTTCTAAAGGAAGGGCCTGAGGCTCAGGGGAAGGGGCTGTCCAGGATCACACCCTCCCTGGGGGAGCTCTGCTGCCCATCGAGGAGCCCAGGCTTGGCTGGCAGCTGGGGCACTCCCGTTGACTGCGGAGGCTCCCCCTCCCTTCTTGCGGCTGGTGGAGTTTATGAAACCTCCCCAGTGCCATAAATCATGTCAAGAGCTGCTTCCTGTGCTTTCCAGCAGGCAGCAAGCCACTGAGCAGGGGATGTCCCTGCCCTCTCACACCTGGAAGCCCTAGCAGCTGCACTTAGGGCTCCCCAAAGTCCTCGACTATGTGTGACCAGTCAGGCCCAGAAAGGTGGGTGCAGTGGCGGGGACCCCCGGGGCTCCTGACCCCCGACTCCCCACCTCCTCCTCACAGGTCTCAGGCCTCCCCAAACCTGTCATGGAGGGCCCAGACCCTTTTCTGCAGAGGGAGGGCCACTGGGACCCCAAGCCTGCCAGGAGCTGCCAGAGCCTCACCTTCCCTGAAGCCTCGGTCGGGGGGCGGTGCTGGAGCAGAGGGAGCTGAAGCAGGAGGGGGCAGTGTCTGGAGCTGAGGTGTGGGTTGCATTCTGGCCCCCCATGCCCCATCGCGACAGTGTTGCTTGGTCACGTAACTGAGCCCTTGCCCCCCCCCCAGCTGCCTCATCTATAAAATGAGGTTCATGTGAGGATTCTTGAGGCTATTCTTAAGTCATGGGCCTGGCCCAGAATAGTGCCTGGTCAGTAAGAGCTCTCAGCATTGCTGTTGGTCATTCGGCAGTCACAGGGTGTCCTCCCAGCCCTGGGCATTGGGGTGCAGACAGACCCCATTCCTACTCCCAGAGGGAAACAGATGAGCTCCTGCCTTACTTTTGACAGGCTGCATAGCATTCTCTGCCGTGGACGTGCATGTGTACTACAACAGTCCCCCACCAGTGGATTCTAAGGTTATGTCCATTGTCCTGCAGCCACTCTTGTAGCTCAGTGTCCGCCCACCACTCTGCTGTTTCCTTGGGCTCACCTCCTAGAGGTGAGGTTGCTGCTCAGAGGGTCTGCATGTGGTCGAGGCTCTGCCTTTCAGAAAGGTTGTGCAGGCAGCTGGCTCTCCCCACGGACGGGGTGGTGGGAGTTCCAAGTACCTAAAAGCCTGAGAAGGGCCCAGCAGCCCGAATGGTCCAGAAGAATGTGGATGTGTAGCAGGTGCAGGGGAGGGAGGCTCCTCAGTGTACCACTGGGCCTTGGACAGCTCCCTTAGGACAGGGCAGCCCAGACTGGGCACAGAGGATGCCTTCCCTAGGGCAGGCACTTCAAGTAGGCCCTGAGTTCAGGACAAGTGGCTCAAGGGGACGTGAGCACTAAGGAGGAAGAGAGGGAGTAGCATGAGAAATAAGGCTTTAAAAATTTTTAGACCATATTTTTTTCTGCTTTCAAAGGCTTGTGTGCTCGTGAAACTATTGAAAAGTATAAAGAAGTTTTTAAAATCACCCATAATGGCACCACTCATACAGAATCACCGTTAACATTTTGCTGTCTTCCAGGTTTTTTATGCATTTATATATTTTATATATCTTTAAACAAAAATAGTATCATGCTATATACATTATTTTATAAGCTGCTTTTTCTTCCTACTCACAAAGTATGTCTTTCCCGGTCAGTGCATATAAGTCTGCCTTACTTTTAATGCAGGCTGCATAGCATTCTCTGCCATGGACGTGCAGGTGTATTTCATCAGTCCCCCACAGGTGGACACTAAGGTTATGTCCATTGCCCTGCGGCCAATCTTGTAGCTCGGTGTCTTCCCACAACCCTGCTATTTCCTTGGGAACAGTTCCTAGAGGTGGGGTTGCTGCTCAGAGGGTCTGCATGCTGTCGAGGCTCTGCCTTCCAGAAAGGTCATGCAGGCAGCTGGCCCTCCTACAGCTGGGGCAGTGGATTGGGGGTGCCCAACCTGGGCCCGAGCTGTGCCCCAATCTAATTCTCTGCCCCTTTCCTTCTCTCTAGAGCCGAGCCCATCAGAGCCACTGTCTTCCAGTATCCTGTGGGCTGGCCGCCGGTCCAGGAGCTGCCCCCATCCCTGCGGGCACCCCCACCTGGAGGGTGGCCTCGGCAGCCCAGAGTCCAGTGGGGCTGAGCCCCTAGCCCTCGTCCTGCACCCCAGCTGGCTGGTTCCCCCATCAGTCACGATAAGACAGGAGCTGATACTGGGAAGCTGAGCCCCCTTCCTGCTGTGGCTGTGAGCCTCCGAGACTATGGCCTGATCTCACTGAGACTTGGGACTCCCCACAGCAGGTGTGGCCCTGGTCCTGGGTCTGCGCCGGCAGCTACCCCCTCACTCCCCTCCACACCCTCCCCCGACCATCGGATGTCTTGAGAGGATGAGTGAGAAAACTTCTGTATGTTCGTTCATAAAGGAAGTCTGTCACCACGGTGGTCTGGTTGTGGCCCCCTATCCCGTGCTCTGAGCGCCATTCTGCAGCTCCTGGTGAGAGGTCAGGCAGGGCTGGAATGAGAGGAGATCTTCTCCGGGGTGATCTGTGCTCACCAGCGGAGGCTCAGCATTCTAGGCAGAGGGCGCATCAACATGGCTCTGCTCATTGCCCAGGGGAGAAGTGGCTCGTCGTCTCAGCAGGAGAGCCAAAGGACGCTGCCTGCTGGCCCAGCTCCAGCGGAATTTGCAGCCCCCACATCTGCCCAGCCTGAGCTGGTGCCCAAGCATTTGGGATGGCACAACTGGGGCAGGGATGGGAGCTGGGTCTCCAGCCTTGGGGGCGTAGAGAAGCAGGGAGACCCAGGAGGGCAGGCCCTGGGCTTGGGAGAGTGGCCTGGCTGAGCCTCTTGGCACTGAGCGGGTGGGCAGCTCCTTGGCCCAGGGAGGAGCTGACTGGCTGGCGGGGAATACACAGGCTGCTCAGGCTATTGAGCGCGTTCAGGCTCCAGCCCTGCTTCCTTCCTCAGTTGGACTACAGTTCCAGCTTCTGTGCTGGGGTGGTAGGTAATGTGGCTCTTAGTTGCTGAGCCTCTGTGGGGGGCTGCAGGGCCACCTCAGATGCCCGTGAGCTCCTTCCCTTCCTGCAGATGCCTGTTGAAGGGGGAACTGAGGCCTGATCTTGGGTCCTCTGAGCCTCAGCTTCCTCACCTGTGAAATGGGCTGGCTCTGGCCCAACAGGTACATGGAAGAGGAGGGCTGGATTTGGGTCTAAGAGGGTCAGAGGAAAGGACCCAGGAGAAGACCAGGGAACTCCTCAGGCCATGCCCGGGAGCAGGACCAGGAGACCCCGACTTTGTGCCCTCCTCTCAGAGGCTACCTGCCCTCACCCTGCCCAGAGTCCTGGGCAAACAGCAGGGACCAGGGCTGGAGTTGGTTGTGTGGCCCTGAACAGGCAGGTGCCTTCTCTGGGCTCAGGGTGTCCCTTCACCTCAGGGACCACAGCAGTGGCTGGGTTCTGGGGGTTCCTGTTCGAATCTCTCCTTGGTCTCCCTGGAGCCCCTGGACAGCAGGAAGAGTTAGCGCTACATACAGGCCGGGGTGAGGGCAGGAGGGAGGTGGGCCCAGGGGCCATCCGCAGAGCCGCAGCCAGGCCCTCCACAGCCAGGCCACGGCTCCATGCAAGGCCCATAAGGTGGGTGGGCTAGGGTTGCCAGATGTTCAGGTCCTGACGTACAGGTGGACAGTGGCCCCGGGAACTGGGCAAGGGATAGGGCTGCAGGCGGCGGTGGGGTGGAGGGCCCGGGCAGTGCCTATTTCATGCCACTGCGCAGCACCTGGTTGGCCGCGATAAGCATGACGCTGATGATGAAGGCGATGGCGAAGGCGCAAATCAGGCTCTTGCGCACGCATGTCTGGCGGATCTGCTGGCTGGAGCAGGCTGTGGCCGCCCGCCGGGAGCGCCAGGGAGCGGAGAGACAGAAGGGGACATCGAAATGCTGAGATCAGGAGCTGCCTGCCTTCGGCACGGGCTCGTCCCATGGGGCACACTGGGACGGGCAGGGAGGCCCCCAGCCCCCCGCAGACCCCTGGTGTGTCCCCCTGCTCAAGCAGTTGCGCCCACCCGGTGGGGGCCAGGGCCAGCCACTCACTCTCCACGTCCACGGGGCACTCCTCGGCCGTGCCCAGGTGGCTCTCCTCCTCTGTCATGATGATGTTCTCAATGTCCTTCATGGACAGGTGCTCACAGAAGGTGTCGTAGAGCAGCCGCTTCAGCTCGTCCACTGTCAGCTTCTGCATGTCACACTTGTGGAGAGGCAGGGACACGGTGCTCTGGCCACTGCCACAGTCCCACCCAGCACCCTGCAGCCACAGGGACCCGGTAACAGACCTCCAGATTTTGGAGGGCTGGAAACCGCTTGCTTCATCCCCAGAGAGTCCTTAGCTCATGGCCTTCTGGGAGGTGGGACGTCCAGTAGACAGAAGCCTGCTGGAGTGGTCATCCCCCTTCACAGTGTGGGCCCAGCCATTCACTGACCCCAGAACAGTTCTCCACAGTGTGTACAGCCCTGGATCCCAACCAGCTAGGGCATACCTTCCAGAAGACAGTGTCAAAGTCAGTGCCATGGAACTTCTCTGGGATCCCAGAGGTGGAGAGCTTGGGTCCCAGGAGGGTCACAAACTCCTCAAAGTCCACTTGGCCATCACCTAGAGCGGGCACGGGACCAATCAGTGAGTCAGGCTGAAAACTGGCCTGGAATATGGCACCTTGGACCTTACGGGATGACACCTCCTTCTCTGAGCCTTGATTCAATTTCAGGGACACTTACTGTGTGCCAGGCTCTGGGCTGATGCTGAAGCCACCAAGTGTGGTTGAGACCCCACCAGGGAGGTTAGAGGTGGACAGCGGAAGGTGGTCCCTGAGCGGGGCTGACACCTGAGAGACTCTCTCCTTTCACCAAGAATCCTCTGTGGCTCCCCAACCCCCTGTCCTGTCCTAGGGTGGGTGTAGGGCCCAACACTTTCTTCACCATGCAGACAGGAAATGAAGCTCAGGAGGGGACACCTCTCTGGATGGTGGTAGAGGGTCAAGGTGAGATGAAGAGGGGACGTGGCATTACTGGTCCTTGTTATGAATCTTTCCTTAATAAATGCCAGGTGGCAAATACAACTGAATTAATGATTTTATATTGGTGGTGGGAACTGGGGTATTTAGGACATCCTTTCTACTTTTCTGACTTCAAAATTTCTCAGAATACAGAGTGAGAGGAGCAGCCTCTTACTCTGAGGCCAGGACTGCCACAACCTCTCTGGCCTCAGTTCTCCAGGCTGATAAATGGGGCCAGATGTGGCTGAAACCTGCCATGGGCTCTGGGGAGGTTTGGAGTGGGGGGCAGTGAGAGGCCCAGGGTGGACTCAGCCTCAGCGGCTCAGGGCCCAGGTGACAGGTGAAGAAACGGAGGCAGGCGGCAGTGCTCACCGTCCATATCCAGCCGCTGGATGATGACTTCCAGCTCCACCTCATTGGGCATATAGCCCAGGGAGCGCATTGCTGTGCCCAGCTCCTGCTTGGAGATGAAGCCATTGCCATCACGGTCAAACACCTTGAAGGCCTCACGGATCTCTGGGGGGGGAGGGGGAAACAGCAGGCTGGGACTTCACTTCTGCCCCCATCAACCCCCTTCCCAGACCTCAAGGATTGCCAAATCCGCCCAGCACTGAGGATCCAACCCAGAGCCTGCAGCACGACCGTCGGAAGACCCGAGAGTGCCCTAAGTGTGCTGCAATCTGGGTCCCCCCGGCAGACTGAAGAACGGGGTGAGTCCGGTCCGCAGCAGTGACCCCTTGGGGTCTGAGCACACCAGGCGCCCACAGCCTCTCCCAGCATGCTCACGACGACCCCGTGTGGTGGGTGCCACTTGCAGGGGAGGACGCTGGGGCTCCTGGGCCACGCGCTGGCGAAGGCTTCCCCGCGGCCACCCGCACTCCTCACGTCCTCCTCCCCCACACCCATCCCGCGGCACTTCCTCCCTCGGGCTCAGATCCTTAACACCGGCCAACGCTCGGCTAATGGCGGCCACGTGAGGCGGCGGCGGCTCCAGACTAATGGGCTGACGGCACAGGCTGCCTCTGGGATATGGAGATTGGGGGAAGACGGAAGGGGGATGGAGCGGCCCCAGCAGGCCCAGGCCAGAGCAGATGTGGGGGTCACCCCGCACTGTACAGAGGGGGAGACAGATCTGAGGACCTGGGTGACTCAAGTGGAGAGCAATGCCCTGGGCGAGCAACCCAATTTATGACCTTGGGCCGGCCTCAACTGCATCCACAGAAAAACGGGCAGTATGATGTGGGGACGCCAGGGGTTTTTACCCAACACTCTTGGGACCTGTGGAGGGGTCCTCGCCTCTCACTTCTGCCTCTCTGTTGCTGTCCCTTAATCATCACAGCCCCAGAGCACTTGCCTTTGGGAATGGGGTCCTCAATCCACTGCCTCCCGCTCCCTGGGGGTCTCCTTGTTCACTTGCCAGGCCCCGGGCCTTTGCCTAAGCTCTCCCCTGGGTGGGATTTCAGCAGAGTGGAGTTCCTCATGCACGGGCACGCTCTTGTGTGTGTGTGTGTGTGTGTGTGTGTGTGTGTGTGTTTAGAAGTAGACAGACAAGTTGCCCCACACTGCAGACCCAAACACTGAGGCCCAGAGAGGCTAGACAACTGGCCCAGAGTCAATGTGAGGTCAGGGCTGTTGCTGCGCTTCGGCTGGCTCAGGCCTTGCTTAGGGTTCTGTGAACGCTGAAACTGCTTATAGGATCCTCAGGTGGGTCAGGGAGCCCAGTCCCAGACTAGGGGCTGTGGCCCAGAAAGGGTGGCTGTGTTTCCCAGGACACAGTGAGAGGCTTGGGCTGAGACCTCCAACCTCATCAGGTTCTTCCTACCTGGTGTCCACACCCAAGTCCTGGAGGTCAGCCTGGCCACACATAGGCTAAAACAGATCAACAGCCAGCTGCAACTTAGTTGCCTGGGCCCCCCAGACCCTCGACTCTGGATTTCTCCCAGTCCCAGGCAGGCTGAGAATCTGATCTCATAATCAGTGGCCCCAGGGCCAGAGAGGAAGCTAGGCTGGGAAGTGTGTGCCAGGAACAAGGGTTTCTGCAAACCCTGGACTCTAGGAGCTGCATAGGGTTTTCTTGGACCACCGAGGAGATAAGCTCCCCATCACTGAATATGTGTAAGCAAAGGCCTGCAGCCACAGAAGCAGCTGAGGGGATTCCAGTCACCTGGGAGGCTCCTAGCAGAGATGGAGGCATCAGACACACACACTCAGACTTCTGGCCAGCACTGTTGCCTTCTGGCTCAACCACAGGCTCTGCCCCCCGGGGTGTCCTGCGCACCAGCCCTAGGGGCCCTCTCGAGAAGTCCTGGTGGGCACTATTGTCTAGCCCACCGCCAGGCCTTTGAACACGCAGCCCCTTTTGCCTGGAGTGCTCCTCCCCTTGCCGAGGCCAACTCTGATGCAACCCCAGTCCTCAGCTTAGATGGCACCATCTCCCTGATGCCCTCCCTGACCTCCGCGGACTCCGGTCGTCCCCTGGGTCTCCATAGACCCTGCTCTTCCCCCGTCCTCACACTGACCACGCTGGACTGCAGACAATAAGGGCCATGAGAAGAGGGAGTGGGTCAGTCGTTTTCACATGGAACAGTCTGTCATTCAAGCAGAAGCACCTGCTGAATGAATGGTGCGATGAATGAATGACTGGTGTGAGGAGCCTGCTCGGCTGGAGCACACAGAGGTGTTCTCCCGCTCTTCAGTGCAGAAGTTCACGCACCCCTCGATGTGAGGCATCACTCAGAGCCCACCGACAATCCTGGCAGTGGGAAGCAGTTGTTTTCTACCCACCAAGCTGCCAGGACACGTGAGGAGGGCCAAGGAGGCTGCTTGTCCCTTTGTCCAGCCCCCAAGGACCCCACCTTCCCTATGGTCCACCCGCATCAGAGGGGACTTCAGCTGAAGTGATGTGCTGACGGCACAACTGTGACTGGGAGTTGTGACACCCACCCCACTCGGAGAGCCCCCAACAGACACCAGGCCTCAGCAGCTCTGAGGCAACCATCCTCAGAGCTCCCAGGGGCTGATTCGGGGAAGGAGGGCCCAGAGTCAGACACCACCTCTCTCTGAGCCTTGGTTTCCTCCTCTGTAGAGTCCCATTCGGGAGGTCTCTGGGCGGGGTATGACAAAGTCCTGAGGTCACAGTGGGGGCTGCAGTGGGAGCTGCCCCCTCTCCTGTCACGAGCTGAGGACTAGACATGCCTCCCACCCTGGCAGGCTCAATGTGGTTCCCAGAGCCCAGGGCTGCTTCCCTGGAGCTCCTGACCCCCTCCTCCTGAGGAAATGCACTGGGCTGGAGGACAGCCAGGGAAGGGCAGGTTCATCTTGGGGCATGCGGGCCCCACAGCCATTTCTCAGGCAAGGCTAACCTTCCCAGGCCGCTAGGTAAATCCACAGACTGCCGCCCCCATCCCTGTGTCCCTCTAAACCACCCTTTCTTCGAACACCCAGTCATACCACAAAGCCCTGCTTCTGTGCCTTTGCCTGTGCTGGGAGCCCTGCCCCAGCTCCCCGGCTGACTCCCACCTGCTCACCAAGGCCAAGTGCAGGCACCACCTTCCGGGTCACAGAGACCCGGGGTCAAATCCCAGCTCTCCTATATCCTGGCTGGGTAACCTTGGGCAGGTATTTGCTCACCTGTACAATGGGGCTGCTGGGATGATTAAGCAAGAAGAGCAAGAGTGTGTTTGGCCAGGCCTGGCTTGGAGGTGGATGCTATAAATCAGAATGTCCCAGATGGCAGAGCCAGGAGGAGAGGGAGGACTGAATGAACTTGGGACGCGAGGCCAGCCTTCCCGTTAGTGGGCGCTGGGACCAGAGGCCCGGCTTGGATTCTGGCTCTGCTGCTCGGCAGCCGAGTGACCTCGGCAAGGCACTTCCCTCTCTGAGCCTCAGGTGCCTCGTCTGGGAAATGGGGACCAGACTCCTGCACCGTTGCTGAGACCCAGCCTCTGTTGGGGGCTCCCTGAGTGGGGTGGGTGTCACAACTCCCTGTCATGGCTGTGCCATCAGCACGTCACAAAACGCTGGGTGCGTTTCCCCGAAAGCCTTTCTTCCTTCCTGCCCCGCGAGGCCAGGGGAAGCCTGCTGTGCTCCATCTTGGCATGGGGATGCTGGCCCGGGCATGGGCTGGCAGGGCCATCAGGTTTCTAGGCTGATGCTGTCCCCCCTGACACCTGACACCCTCCAGCCCCCTCCCCAACCTGTGGAGCTTCCTCAGGGCCTGAGGCCCCAGGAGACCCCAGGAACGCCAGCACTTTGTTGGAGAGTCAGAGTCTGGGTGGGGAGCGCAGGCGGTTGCCGGAGTGGGCAGCGTCCATCCTCTGCAGTGCCAGTCGCTCTCCGCGGCATTGGCCCCGTGCCCCACCACTCTGGCCTCCTTGAGTTTTGGCCTGTGAGGAGGCGGCTGTTGGGCCTGCGGAGAAGAGAGGCAGGAAGGGGACTCCCCGGCCTCCCCTGCCCCGAAGGCCCCCATTTGGCCACTCAACGCAGGCTTCACTATCTGACTGGGAAGGCCAGGTGTCAGCCCCAGAACCCTGCCCTAGTGGCTGTCTGCCTGGCCGTGTGACTCCTTTTTTCTCTCTCTGGCTGGAATGGGCTAGGGCTTGCAGCTGTCCCCATTCCAAGTCTCCGGTGGTCAAGTCCACAGATGCCACTGGGACCTGCCTCAGTGCCCCTGGGGGACTCTGCTGTATCCGTATGTCAGGAGGGCAGCCTTGGTGGGCATCCAGAGGGAATCTGGGAGGCTGTGCCTCTCCGTCACGGGTCTGGGTGGGCCTCAGGACAGCTCTGCCCAGCCACATCCCTACCCTGCCTGCTGCCATCCTTGCCTCCCCAGGGCCACAGGTCTCTGCCAGGAGTTCAAGGCCTTTCTACCCAGCCCTGCCCCCCAGTCTGCCCTTCCGGCCCAACCTCCTACAGATCCTGCATCCCTATCTCATGGACCCTACATACTCCAGGTCCTCAGCCTTGCAGGGCCTCCCTGGCTCCTGCGTCTAGTCCCTGAGCCCCTGCTGCCAGGCCCGTGTTGAGTACTTCTACCGCATCCTGTCACCTGCAGCCCTGGGGAGGGCAACACCAACCTCCCCTTCTACAGATGGGCTCACTCCTTGAGCCGAGGGTACAGAGACTCGAACCCACCACTGGCTAGCTGAGAAGCCCTCATCGTAGCCCTGTGTTCCCCACCTCCCTTCCCAGTCCTCCTCCCGGCTCAGACTGACCGCCCCCTGGATTTCTGCGGCAGGCACGCGCTGTCTGCAGCATTTCGTCCCAGGCTGCCCGGCTCCCTCTTCCTGGCACATGTGGCTTCCCCACGGATGGCGTCGTCCCAGCAAAGGGCCTGGGTCTCACCCCGATTGCCCTGGGACAGAAGCACTCATGGGGCACTGGAGAGGTGGAGAGAGCAGAGGGGAGAATCTGTGCCAGAGATAGCCACTCTTCACCCAGCCCTGGCATTCAAGGAACACTGAGGGGCCTGGGGCCTCAGAAGGCTTTGGGGCACCTGCAGCCAAGAAGGGGGTTGGTCACAGAGGATTTCTTGCCTTCATCCGTAGCTGCCCACCGGCTGGGATGGGCTGAGGCCACCCAGGCACCCACCTGTTCCACAATCCCACCTGCCCACCCCAGGAGAGCCCTGCCCTTCAGATGCCCCCTATTTCAGGGTCCCTCTGCTCCCGTGGGCCCAGGAGAAGGGGACAGGAGAGAAGTGGGAAGTGCACTTGGTGTGGCTGGTGACGAACGCCACCGGGCTCCTGCCAGCATGTCAGCAGGGCCATCCAAGGGGAGCCTGCGGCCTCTGCCCCTGCACTGCCCACCCTGTGTCCCGCCCACCCCTGCACCCAGCCTCCTCTCAGCTCCTCCCCTTCCTCAGGGTGGGCACTCCAGGACTGGGGGATCGGGAGAAGAGTGACCCA